AGTTCTTCTGGTCTCATAGTTGTATAGGTTGCAGATCGGATGGTGTACCAGTCACTAGGACTGATTGTTTCCATTAATTTTGGTTTTCTTCTTTCTAATGAAGGATAATCTTAATGGCTGACACTTAGTGAGTGTTTACATGTCAGATGCTGCACTGGATCATTCATGTGTGAAATCCTCGCAGCCCAGTGAGCCGGGTCCAGATGAGGGAACATGCACAGACAAGTAAGATTGCCCCAAATCATGTAGGTAGTAAAGTAACAGAGCCGGGGTAAACGTATTCCACAGTCTGAGCGGTTATGATAAATTGCCTTGCTGACGTGAAACAGCATATGAAAAGGATGGCTCAGTAACTGCCCCATTGGGCAAAGGCTGCAGATTAGACACGGACATCCATGTGGAGCTCTGGTGTAGTGGTTAAGGCATGTGGCTGCTAACCAAAAAGTCGGTGGTTTGAACCTAACAGCTTGTCCATGGAACAAAGATGAGACAGTCTGCTTCCGTAAAGGAACCCTGAGCCCCTGGGAAGCCCTGCTCAGCCTTGCCCGCTTTTCTCTCTGCCCTCACCTGCTACTGCTCTCTCTGCCACATGGACTTTCTTCCTGGGCCTGGAAAAGGCCAAGCACATTCCCACCTCAGGCTCCTTGTTTTCTGTTCTCCAGTTGTGGGACCATGCAAAGAAGGTGTAGGGAACTCTAAGGAAGATTGGGCAACCTACTTCCATAGTGATATGCCTCGGAAACCCAAGGAGCGGTTGCTATGAGTCGGATCCGACTGAAGGTCAGTGAGTTTGTTTTTTTCAGTTGGAAATCTAACGTGGGGATTGGTTAGTTTTGTCACTCTGTGTGGCTTAGAATGAACCTTCCTGGACAGAAAGGGGATGTCACTGCCATCAAGGGAGAAGAGCCGGAGGTGGAGTGGAGCGTGTCCTCGGACCCAGAGGTCACTGCACTGGACCTCCTTGGCCGAGACGCCAGGCCTAGAGGACCCACTGAGGAGCCAAGAGGCACAAAACAGCGTCAGCCTTTCTGGCCCAGGGAGCGAGAAAGCTGAGTGCTTTTGGCAGGAGGCTTCCTGGCAGAGTGAGGTGTGCCTGAGTGCACTTACCAGCAAAGCTCAAATTGCTTTGTAACACTTGCCCAAGAAGGACAGAGAACAGGCTGAGAGGCCGAGGGCCATAGAGGTGTGCCTGAGGGCATAGCAGAGGGGAGACTGTCCAGATTGAAGAATTGTATCCTGAGAGCATTCTTGATCCTGAATTATAACCTGTTACTTCCCTAACAAACCCCATAATCGTGGGTATTGTCTGTGAGTTGTGTGTGGCCATTGCAACAAATTCTCAAACCCAGCAGAGAAGTAGTGAGTGCTGTGGGAGGGATGGTTGGTGTCAGAGTTGGTACAAAGGCTGGAGGGTGGCAGCATGTCTGCGTCATAGGAATAAACCTTGGACTGCTGATGGTGATTCTATCTCCCACTTGTGAAGTTAGAGGAGGTTAGAAGATGCCACCCCCGTGCCCTTTCTACACCTCCATTTTGTAATTATCCTATGTGTTGTAAAGCCTCACGTCTATGATGTTAGAGAGGATGGTGCACAACTGGGCAGTGTTTCATTCTTTTGTACATTGGGTCGCTATGAATCTGAGCCAACTGGACGGCACCCAACAACAACATGATGTTAATGAGGCAGGATTAGAGGCAGTTTGAGGTGTAGTAAATTACTTGGTATGGCTTTTCTAGCTCCGTCTTTCTAAACTCTGTAGTGGAATTTTCTCTGAGCAACAGGAGTTCCTGATTATTAAAATTATCCACCTGGGGTATTTCTGTTGAGAGTGGCACAAAGCAATGTTCTGGGAAGTTCGCTCTATCTCCTAGGTGCTTAGAATTCTGATGTTATGATTGGCTAGTTTGGCTAAAAGGAGGCCTCCTAGAGGCAGAAGTCTCTCTGTTGGCTGAGAAGGATGTGCTGCTGAGAGAAATGTGCTCCTGAGAGACACACACTGCTGGGAAAGAGACACAAGAGACACGCATTGCTGAGAGAGACACCGAGAGACAGGCACTGCTGGGAGAGAGAATGTGAGAGACTGTTGGCTGAGAGATGGTGAGCTGAGAGAGACTGAGTGTTGTTCCTGATCTTGAATTGTAGCCTGATGCTTCCCTATTAAATCCCATAATCTGTGAGTTTTGTGTGGCCACTGCAATGAATTATCAAACCCAGCAGAAAGGTGGTGGGTGCTGCGGGAGGAACGGTTGGTGTCAGGGTTGATGAAAGGGCTGGAGTGAGGCAGCATCTCTGGCCTTGCAGGAATAGGCCTTGGGCTATTGATGGTGATTCTGTCTTCCTCTTGTGTGGTTAGAGGAGGTCAGAAGATGTGGCCTCCTTGGCCTCTTTGTTGTTGTTGTTGTTATATGCCGTCGAGTCGGCCCCGACTCATAGCGACCCCTCCTTGGGTTT